CCACAAACTAAGAAAAAATCTTAGTGAACTGTCCCTCAGACAAAGGTCTTCTGACTAAATCAAAGAATTTAAAAAATCAGACCCCCAGAATTCAAAGACTCAATCCAAAAATGGGCATCTGAGATGAACACACAGTTCTCAGATGAAGAAATACAAATGGCAAATAAATACATGAAAAAATGTCCATCATCACTACTCATTAGAGAAATGCAAATTAAAACCAACTGAGAGTCCATCTCACTCCATAAAAAATGGCCAGATCAAGAAAACTACCAACAACAAATGCTGGAGAAGTTGTGGGGAAAAAGGAACTCTCCTGTACTGTTGGTGGGAGTGTGGACTGGTGCAATCACTGTGGAGGTCAGTCTGGAGATTCCTCAGAAACCTGGGATTGGAAGCCCCATTTGACCCAGCTATTCCACTTCTGGGCATATTCCCAGAAGAACTGAAAATATCATACCACAGTGATATATGTACACCCATGTTTATAGCAGCACAATTTGTAATAACCAGATTTTGGAAACAACCTAAGTATCCATCAAGTGAGGAATGGATAAAAAAGTTGTGGTATTTTTATACAATGGAGTACTACTTAGCTATAAAGAATGATCATATTGAGATATTTACTAATAAATGGGAGCAACTTGAGACCATACTCATAAGTGAAATAAACTCACATGTATAAATACCATATAGTCTCCCTAGTGTAAGAAATAGTAAGAGTACATAAGAGTTTATGATAATCATGATTTCTCATTACATTGTTTTGAAACCTTATAATGATCGCATTGGTTAGCTGTAATGAGTTTGTCCTTGTTTGTTTGATTTTATTAACTGTGATGGTATAAACAGCTAATTTGAGGGAAACAAGTCATTATAATAGCCAGCACTGGCATAATATCATCTTACTCTGAAGTCCTACCATGCTCTTGCTCTTCTGTTTCCATTGGCTCTATCATGTTGTACCTTATTGGATTGTATTATGTTTGAAAGTATAAACAAATTTTCTATGGAAAATGAGATAATACAGTAGCCATTGTTTGTTTTCTGTTATTTGGTTTTTTTTTTTTTTTTTTTTTTTTTTTGGTTTTGAATGCCTTGTGATACTCATTCTCTTGAATGTTTTTATACTATTTTGTTATGTTTGATACTATTGTATATGAAGTTATACTCAACTATTTCAAAGAAAGACATTGTGGTAGTTACTGTTAATTACGGGTTGTCTTCTAGTGAAATTCTGTGTAGCTCACATTGTACTGTTCTGATCTGCTTTGTTATGTACTGTTTTGTCTTAATCTCTTTAAAATAAAAGAAGATTGTTCAATGTGTTCTGTTCAACACCTGTTTTAACAGTGTCTCAGATGCTGTTTGCATCTTCCTTCAAAGGGACACAGAATGCTGTTCCAGGATACCCACCGGGATCTCAACAACTTTGTCATCAAACACAATCACTATGGGTGAGACCTCAGCGCCTTCTGTCTTCCTTACAAACGCAGGTCTACATTACTTTGGCAACAACCTCTTTCCAAGGAGATTCATTTGACACATTCATTGAGGACATAGATGTCCAATATCTTTTAGGGTTCCGATGGCAACATAGTTTATATTTTAAGCTTTTTAAAATTAAAATCAAACTGAACTATGTAGTGAGATCCCACCTCAAAAAAAATTAAAATCAACAAGCACTCCTAGTATCATCTAAAACAAACAAAGAAACAAGCAAACCCAAAACTTCCTTCAACACAAACACTTTGGCAGCCTCTTCTCAGGCCTCTTGAAGTCTCCAAAACACTTGTAGTGGCTACCAGTTGTCCCTGAGCTCCTGAACTAAACATTTCTTTGCTTCAGTCTGAGAGAGAGAGACAGAAGGGGTCCCAAGCAGGTTGCCAAAGACTCTGTTGCCAAAACAACAAATGATGGCTATCTAATGGGCTCTTATGGAAATAGAGGTTGTCATAGATCCTGGATCTGTAGCCCTCCATATCCAGCTGTCTCCTATGATTTGGGCCTCAGTATCCCTCAGATACTGCATGGCGACCAACACCTTCCATTGATAGGATGCAGCCAAGTCTGGTCCCTGGAATGTGTGGCTTCCCTTGTCCTCAGTCCCTTGCCAGGTGCCCAGGTGCTTGAGCAGAACACCATTTCCCATACAGCCCCTTGGAATTAACTGAGTAAATGATAGTGTCATTGCTAAACATTAGACCAGAGGGAGCTTAATGGCATGTTATTGTTACAGGCAGCTGAGTTAGGTAGAGATATTATAGGCAGTCGGACAGGGGTAGGCCCTCAAAGGAGCCATTGCAAAAGCTCAGATACCCTCCAACTGTGGGGCAGACAGACATCTCCTGCTGTGGGCCAGGCCTTGAGACAAAAGATCAAACAAATGCACTCACATCCCAAGGACTGATATTCTAAATAGATCTCTATTACCCTGAGAAAGCCAGAAGTCATTATCCTATTCCCCTATGGGAAGAGTCCCTACTCCTTAAGCCTGCCCACTTTCTACATGACTCGCTTCCCATTTGTCCCCGATTTAATCAACTTTACCTGAGCAATTAATCTTATTGGTTGACCACAGTTCTGTCCCGCCTGATGCCCACCTTGGTGAGTTCCCATGCCTTTCCCCACCTTGGACCCATCTTGTGGTTTTGCTCTATAAAAGTATCTAAAAAGACAGTGTCTGTGACAACCTGTTTGGGACCCCTTCTGTCTCTCTCTCAGACAGAAGCTTTCTTTCTCTCAATAAATATATTCTGCTCTCAACCTCTATTGTTCCTAAAATGCATTCTTTGATTTTAGAGAACATGGACTCATACCAGACGTATAGTAGGCTGAGAGTTTCATTCCCCTATATCATTATGTCTGTCATCCTTAGCCAGGATGTCTTCAACAAAGAACAGGACCCAAGAACAACACACTTGGCTAAACTTTAGGTAGCTATCTTAGCACTGGATCCCCTGAACAACAACTGACCCATCCTTATGATTACTATAAAGTATTGGAGCTCAATATACAAACCTAAAATCTGTCTCCTCCAAACAAAACAATTGGGAATCTCTGGCCTCACAGATACCTAAAATACAAACCCAAACCACACAGCTCCACATATACTAGACCACAATACAAGGCTTTGTTAAAATACTTATTATTATATTCATGGTATCATATTCTTGTAGCAGTAACCAAGGCACGCATTTCATTTCTGAATTCATATATAATGTTGGGCTCTTGAAAAAGACATTTAACAGAACTTTTACGTTTCTGACGAGCCCCAATTATCTGGTTTAAATGAAACAAATATTTGGTATCCTGAAACCAATTCTTTTCAAATTCCAGACCAACGAATAAATCAACACAGTTCTGTCCCAGGAGGCCTTAATCTGTCTTTATAAATTTATCTTACTCCAACTCTGTAAGGGCTGAAGGCAGATCAAGGGCACATATTGTCCTAGGACTCATGAACTATAAATTGTTTCCTAGGCCAGCAACTGTTTATCTGGCATGGGACTCATCTGAACCTAAACTGCTCCCCCAAACGAAAGCCATGTTGGTGCAACCATGCACCAGTGTGTTGATTTTGATCCCATTATTTTTGGTTTGAGTGGTTTTCAATCCAGAGGACAAACTCTCCAGTAAGGCATTGTTTTAACCCAATGTTGCAAAGCCCAGGCCTCTATCAACTCCGGTAGATATCTGAATAGAATGCATGCTTCTGCCTAAAATTTCACTGCTGGAGATAGTATCTCCTCAGATGACACAGCCCTACTCTAAGACCTTGAGAACGACTGACCCCAGCTCTGGGCTGGAGATCCTTTACCCTGTCATTAAAACTTTCCCCCAGCAACAACGCTTGTGGACTTCCACTCTTGAAAGCAAAGTGTGCCCAGGACATTTATTGCTTTCCTATCTATAATTACTACTTAACTGTGATTCTGGTGTGTTCCTTACTCTCTGCTCTAATGCACACTTCCATCTTCCCATACCTAAAAGGGATTGTCATCCAGATAACTAAAATGTATGGAGGGAATTGTTTTCCCAGGAAATGCCTGCCTCCTATCAAACTCCTGACCCCCAGAGGAGAGGACTATCTACTTGATGTCTCTTCCCCGTCCAGTTTTCAATCTGCATCATGACCACCGTATCAGCTCCAGCCAGAGTCAGTTTCTCTACCACATACAACTGTCTTGCATTAAAAGACAAGGCTGAGGTACAAGAGTAAATCATATAACAAGACATAGTATGGTAGCCACTTTTGATTTACTAGTGGCCTGTTTTGAAGTACTTTATCGAATTCACTGTTTTGGCTTTATTTTTTCTATTTTATTCCAATCTGTTAGATTTTTACTATGTCTGAAAGTATCTGCAGCTATTTTGAAGACAACAAAAGGTATTATGGTAACTATTGTGGGTTTTGTAAGGTTTTGAAGTCCTGTATCACTTATATTGGTTTATTTTTTTAAATTGGCTTTCTTCTATTTTCCTTGTTTTTATTGTTTTTCAAGTAAAATTAAAAAAAAGAATAAATCATAGTGAATTCTTACTTATAGTGAATTCTCATGTTGCCTGGGCAGATCCTGTGTATGTGTGTGTGTGTGTGTTGGGAGCCGCAGCCCCGAGCCCGGTCGCCTCACTTGGCGGACGTGAGGCCTGTAGTAAAGAGTAAAGCCTGAGGTAGATTACCCCTCCCATCGAGCACGTTAGTTTCCTGCTTACCGCGTAAGCAACCCGCTCAACAATATAGTCTGCCTGGCAACTGATGATGTTAGCCAATCAGCTTGCCTTGCTCACTTTAACATGATTGGACACTGTATCTGTATATATACTGGTGCCACCCCTGGGGGGGAAGAAGAAGCCCGGAAGTAGAAGCCCAGAAGGAGCCGCGGGGAGCGGACCAAAGGAGGCTTCGGCTGGGAGCGATCCCAGGGCAGGCTGTACGGAGAAGAAAAATAAAAGAAAAGGTTGTCCACTGCCAGACTTTGTCGTGTGTCCTTCCTGCCGGCCGGGAGCGACCCCGACATTTGGTGACCCGCACGGGGACTGATCAACCCCGAGACACGGCGGTGGTGTGCAACGCTCCAGCGTGGTGCTGCCGGACAGGTGAGTTGGGGATAAGCCTGGGCTCTGGGTGGCGCGCACCTACAGGGCTTTTAGACTCCCCTCAGGCTCACGCGTAGGTGACGGGTTCTTTAAGTCACACGCGGTGAGTTACAGCCATTAGAGGTTAGAGATGGGTAATTTACCGAGCGCGGAGGCGCGGCCCTTGGTAAAGGCCCTTAGGAAGCTTTTAAAAGCTAGAGACCTCAGGGTAGGTCAAAAAACACTAGAACTATTCATAGCAGAGATAGATAGGGTGGCTCCCTGGTTTTTACCCACGGGGCATTTAAACCTGCGTCATGGGAGAAGTTAGGCGGGGACCTCGCTTCGGCGGAATTGGAAGGGGATATTTCGCCGGCTATTCGCCCCCTGTGGGAAATGATACATGCGTGCCTTGACTCCTATGCCGAGTTGCGCCGCGAATTGTGTGCGTGTGCCGCTCGAAAAAAGCAGAGAGAGGAAAAAGGGCCCCCGAGCGCTCTCTGGCGGGGAGGAGATAGAGAGCCATCCGCTCCGCCCTGGAGCTCTTCTCCAGAAGCGGCTCCCCGCCGAGAGGCCGCTACAGGGAACCCTCCCTTCTCTCAGCCGGCACAGGAAGTGACGCCCCGTTCCACTCTGTCGCGACCGCCGTCCTATGACGTTGCGCTGCGGGGCGGACGGTATTTTCATGGGCGGCTACTCTGCCGAGCAGGCTGAGAAAAATGCCGGTTGAGGAAACGGGGGCTGGGGATTTAGCTTAGCGGCATAAGCGCCTGCCTTGTAAGCAGGCAATCGCGAGTTCGATCCCTGGCACCGATAAAAAAAAAAAAAAAAAACAAAACGAAAAAGACCAAAAATAAAAAATAAAAAATAAAAAACAAAAAGGGGGAGTAAGCCAAGGCCTGCCTCCAAAGGCGTGGTTATCTATGGCATGACAATGGATGGGCCCGGATCCGGTGGTTAGCTGGAACCGAGGCGCGGTTTGTGTTTTTCTGCAGGAATCGGGACGAGAACCACTGTGGGTCCCAGAGAGGTTGCGACAAGTCCCTCGACTGAAGATCAGGCCTGTTCCACCAGAGGCCAACCGCAGACCCAACAACAAGATGAGCCCTAAAAGAACTGCAGGACAATCCCTTTTTGGGGAGCCTGGAATGGCTTGCTCCCCTATGTTTTACCATTGTTAGGTCCCCTGTGCTCCTTGCTTCTGCTCTTACTTGTAGGACCATTCTTGCTCCGATGGGTTACATCATTTATTAATGGGCGCCTTGCGGCGGCCTGGCGTCAAGTACGCCTGGTTGCCCATGCGGCCCTGGCAGCAGCCCGTGATGGGCACAATGACCCCCAGGCTTACGCATGGCTCGCTCGACTGGCCTACGACTGGGTCTAGGTGTGGCGGTTCTTCCGCATTCCTTCCCTAATGACACCACACAGCAGGGTAGGTGAGTCAATGACGGGTAAGAGCGTGCCTCCCCAGCATGACTCGACCTAAGCCAGGCCCTACCCCATGGCGCACAAAAGCCGCTGGATTACTAGAATCTGCCCAGATCTAGATGCCTCTCCGAGGGGATCACACGGAGGGGCATGAGTGCATGCCTATGTGCATCCAGGTTCCGTCCAGTTCACTCCTGGCCCTGGAAAAAGGACGAGGGTCTCAAGGCCTTGGCAGACCCGGGGGCGGCCGACCAGGGTCCAAGCCAAGGGCCTACGGTGGGCCTCAACACAGGGCATAAGCCTCTGCACTCGATCCAGGGCGGGCTGCGATGCATACATTCATTCAAAGTAAATAAAATAGGGGGAGATGTTGGGAGCCGCAGCCCCGAGCCCGGTCGCCTCACTTGGCGGACGTGAGGCCTGTAGTAAAGAGTAAAGCCTGAGGTAGATTACCCCTCCCATCGAGCACGTTAGTTTCCTGCTTACCGCGTAAGCAACCCGCTCAACAATATAGTCTGCCTGGCAACTGATGATGTTAGCCAATCAGCTTGCCTTGCTCACTTTAACATGATTGGACACTGTATCTGTATATATACTGGTGCCACCCCTGGGGGGGAAGAAGAAGCCCGGAAGTAGAAGCCCAGAAGGAGCCGCGGGGAGCGGACCAAAGGAGGCTTCGGCTGGGAGCGATCCCAGGGCAGGCTGTACGGAGAAGAAAAATAAAAGAAAAGGTTGTCCACTGCCAGACTTTGTCGTGTGTCCTTCCTGCCGGCCGGGAGCGGACATCGACGTGTGTGTGTGTGTGTGTGTGTGTGTCTATTATGTGTGAACTCGTTTTGATGATGGGGTATAAGACATGAGTTGGAAAACGCCACCTTGGGGTTTTAGGGTATTAGGATGACCTCCCTCACCTCAGTCATCTTGGAATGGCTTTTGGAACTTTATTTGGCTCTGTGCTTGCTGCTAGCAGCTTGTCCGGGTAAACTGCTGACTGGCTCCTCCTTGGAAGGAAAGTTCCTCTTTTTCTTGGAGATGCTTCCGTTCCTCTTGTGGATCACAAGCTGCTTCCTCCTTGAGTGAGGACTCCTCCCTCATGGGAAGACATGGGCTGCTAGTTGTCTCTTCAAGGTTATGCTTCACTAACTCCTACTTGGAAAAAAATTTCTTTTTCTTGGGTTTGGCAAAGACCAAAAATGAAGTGGAAATTTTATTCCATTTTTCTGAGCAGCCTCCACTTGTTTGTTCTTCTTTTTAATTTTTCATGTGTTTCCTCAATTTCCCTGAAGGCTGAATTTGAATATAAATTTAAGTTTCCTGCATGCAGGGCTTAGTCACCCTTGACAGAGTTTCCAGTTCTCTGTCTGCCAGTTCCCCAATGTAGTCAATTTAGATATTGGCCTTCCGCAACTACCTCCCGGTGACTACCTCCCCACGGGACAGCTACATACAGTCTACTTGACTCGCCCCATTAACCCCTACATCCCACACAGACTGCTCAGATACACTGCAGCGACCTCCTCTCAGCACATGAAAGGCTCTGCAGAATGGGCTGCTTACTCTAAACTCACCAGTCGAACTCCCCAAGGGTTGATAGTACTTTACTCTTCATCTGTAAGCCCCATTGTCTGAGAAATTGCAAGTTTCCAGTCACACAGTATTTCTTTTAATTAAATGTTTCCCTTACTTTATATTTGGATTTTTATAATTATACTTCAGGGTATGCTAATTTGATATTTAAGAGGTCACTGTGTTAATTCCTTAAACAAATATAACTCACACAAGAAATTTAATACTCATCAAGTTTTCACTGAAAGGCCAACCAATCTCTTTTCTCCTTGAGCAATACTTTCAGGCTCAATTGTGAATGAGTGATTCATTGATTAATTAATTAATTATTAATATTTCAGAATACTTTGGGGTGCCAAGTACTGAGATACAAACAAGTGTTACAGAGATAAGCAAGATGGACAATCTCGCTGTTATAGAGGTGTTAGCAGATAGGTTGTTTCTAAAAAGTAGCTAGTCAACTAAATATTACTGGGTTCTGGATAGCTGGCCTCTCCTGGAGTTGGATTCCAGGTGCTTTAGCCTCCAACAAGAAACTGACTGAAATGAGGAAAAAACAGCGGCAAAGTTTGTTCGAGCAAGCAGAAGTGAAGAGTAGCAGAGAAACCGGATCTGCCACACAAGCTTGGATTCATTAAATAGTAAAAAAGGGTACGAACAAAGAAGGATAAAAGTACATACTGCATCGGGGAAACACAGCGTGGGCTGTCGTGGAAAGTTACCATAGTGAAGTCTCCATGGCCTCCGTGTGTTCTTTTATGTTGTCTAAATCTCCAGGAAACCTGCGAGAACTTCTGCAGACCGTTCCTGAGAGGCGATTCTGGGATTCCAAGCCTCAGGCTGGTTTCCGGTCCAGGCATCCCATTGGAAACCTGCTCCAAGTCTCAAGAGCAAGGCTTTGGGAACTGTTCTGCGCATGTGTCCTGGATCTCGTAATTAACAGCTAATGCTCATTTCCCTAGCCAGCTTTTTTTTAATTAAAAAAGATTAAGATAAAAGAGGTCAGAACAGAACAGTTTAAGCCACATAGTGTTTCACCACAAGACAATCCGACATAACAGTGGCTACCATAGTGTTTTTTTCTTGAAATAATTGAGTATACCTTGATATAGTATCAAACATGAAAAGACAGTGTAAAACCATTCAAGAGAATGAAAGTATTACATGGTATTCAAAATCAACTAACAGAAAATGAACAAAGGTCACTATATTATCTCCTTGTCTATAAAATATTTTGTTTATACTATCATACATAATAAAATCCAATACGATACAACATGATAAAACCAATGGAGACAGAAGAACAAAAGCTTAGTGAGACTTCAAAACAAGATGATATTAAATCGTCACTAGCTATTATAATGTCTTATTTTATTCAAAATAGCTGTTCATACCATCACAGACAATAAAATCAAACAACCCAGAAAAAACCATTCCAATTAATGAATGAAAACATTATAAGGCTTCAAAGCAATATAATGGGGAATCATAATTACCACATAATTTTATGTATTCTTACCATTTCTTACACTAGGGAAGCTATTTGGTATTTATACATGTGGGTTTGATTTATTTTGCTTATGAGTATGGTCTCAAGCTGCGTCCATTTATTTATAAATATCTCAGTGTGATCATTCTTTATAGCTGAGTAGTACTCCATTGTATAAAAATACCACAGCTTTTTTATCCATTCCTCAGTTGATGGACACTTCGGTTGTTTCCAAGATCTAGCTATTACAAATTATGCTGCTAAAAACATGGGTGCACATATATCAATGTGGTATGATGTTTTCAGTTCTTCTGGGAATATGCCCAGAAGTGGAATAGCTGGGTCGAATGGGGCTTCCAATTCCAGCTTTCTGAGAAATCTCCAGACTGACCTCGACAATGGTTGCACCAGTCTGCACTCCCATCAACAGTGCAGGAGAGTTCCTTTTTCCCCACAGCCTCTCCAGCATTTGTTGTTGATAGTTTTCTTGATCCTGGCCATTTTTTTCACTTTTTTTTTTTAATTGGTTCCGGGGATTGAACTCATGACTGCCTGCTTGCAAGGCAGGTGCTTATGCCACTGAGCTAAATCAACAGCCCCTCAGTGTGGTTTTAATTTGCATTTATTTAATGAGTAATGATGATGAACATTTTTTCATATATTTATTTGCCATTTGTATTTCTTAATCTGAGAATTGTGTATTCATCTCAGATGCCCATTTTTGGACTGGATCCTTAAATTTTGGGGGTCTGATTTTTAAAAATTCTTTATATGTTTTAGACAGAAAACCTTTTTTTATTTAAAGAGAAAGAAACAAAAAATAGATGAAGATAAAAAAGGGTAGAAATAATACAGAATTACAGAAAAATAAACGGTAAGAAATTACCAGTAGATAAGTTACATATTGTCATCTAAAGAAATAGTTGTTCAGGTTACAAAATTAAAGTATGTAAAGTGATATGCAAATAGTGACACTGCCAACAGTTCTGATCAATGACATAACAAAAACTTAGTAATATGGTTATCAGTCCTACACACTTGTTTTTTATCTTAAAGAGGGTAAGATTAAACATATCAAAACAGAACAAAACAGTTCAAAAGGAAACAATTTAAAGAAATACAGATTTCAAAAAAAATCCACTGAAGATCTTCACTGTTTATCTAATTGTCTCTAGTTTCTTCCAAATAGTTGTCCCCATCTTCATGCACATTAAATACATACTGCATATTATAGAACTAATCAAATCATTACAGGATGATGAAGACTTTTTAGGTCTTAAAAAGATCTGACATTGGGGAAGAAAATAATAACTACCATAGTGTCTCTCATTCCCTTCGTAGTAGCTTAGACAGAAAACCTTTGTCTGAGGGAGAGTTCACTAAGATTGTTTCCCAGTTTGTAGATTTTCTTTTCACTATGCTAGAGATTTCTTTTGATGTACAGAAACTTTTTAATAAGACATGATCCCAGTTGTTGGTCCTGGGAAGTATTTCCCGTGCAGTCTGATTCCTGTTCAAGAACTCTCCATCTTCCCTATGTCCCCAAGGGTTTTTACCCAACTTGTCTTCCAAAGATTTAGTGTTTCTGTTTTAATATTCAAATCTTTGATCCATTTAGATTTTAATTTAGTACATGGTGATAGGCATGGGTCTAGTTTTAGTCTTCGGCATATGGAGAGCCAGTTTTTCCAACACCACTTATTAAAGAGACGGTCTTTCTTCCAGTAAACACGTTTGGCCCCTTTATCAAAGATAAGGTGGTTAAGTGTATTGGTAGTTGTGGTTCTATCTTGTAGTCTATTCCACTGATCTTCAGATCTGTTTTTATTCCAGTACCATGTTGATTTTACTACAGTTGCTTTGTAGTATAATTTCAAGTCAGGGATTGTGATGCCTCCTGCCTTGCCTTTGCTGCTTAGAATTGTCTTTGCTATTCTTGGTCTCTTCTGGTTCCAGATGAATTTCAGGAGTGAGTTCTCTAGATCTATGACGTATGTTGATGGTATTTTGATTGGGATTGCATTGAATTTGTATAACAATTTTGGGAGAATAGCTGTTTTCACAATATTTATTCTTCCTATCCATGAGCAAGGGATGTCTTTCCACCTTCTGAGATTTTCTTCTATTTCTTTTTTCAGTGTATCATAATTTTCCCTATACAGACCTTTCATTTCTTTTATGAGGATAATTCCTAAGTATTTCATTTTTTTGGTTGCTAGTGTGAAGGGTGTGGCTTCTCTTATTTCTTTCTCTGTGAACTTGTTGTTAGTGTATAGAAATGCTATTGACTGATTTTTGAGTATTGATTTTGTATTCAGCTACATTGCTGAATTTATTTATTATATCTAGGAGTCTTTCAATGGAGTTTTGGGGGTCTTCTATGTAGAGTATCATGTCATCCACAAATAATGATACTTTAACTTCCTCTTTTCCTATCTTTACCCCTTTTATTTCTCTCTCTTATCTAATTGCTCTGGCTAATTTTTCCAGTACTATATTGAATGGGAGCAATGATAAGGATATCCTTGTCTTGTGCCTTATTTCAAGGTAAAGGCCTTCAGTTTTTGGCCATTTAGCATGATATTGGCTGTTGGTTTGTCATAGATGGCCTTTATCATATTGAGGTAAAGACCATCTATTCCATTTTTCTGTAACATTCTTATCATGAATGCATGTTGGACCTTATCAAA